GCTCAGGATATGGAACTACAACAACGGCGAATGCCTGCGCACGCTGCGACCCGATGATGACGTCACGCCGCGACGCCCCTATGATGACGTCACGAGCTGCGAGGTGACGGCAGTGACGTGTATCGAGATGAATCAGAATGTTTACTTCGTCGGCGTCGGCTGGGACCGACGCATCAACCTGTACGCCGACGTGCCGGAGGAGCAGCCAGGGTAACGAACTCGCTGATTAGATTCACCTGTCCTGCGCACGTAGCCAGGTAGCTCTCACACTCTCTCTCTCTCTTTCTATGTCTCTCTATCGCGCCCTCTCTCTTCATCTCTCCACACATCACAGAATACAGATCGAACACAACATAGCTCATCTTCTTTTAGTCAGCGTTGCAATGGTGATATTCTAAAAACGGTGTTCATTAACGAAGTGGGGACGTTTTGGTTTCTTTTTTCTCTTTCTCTTTCTCTGTTTCTTTCTCTCTATCTCTCTTCCGCGCGCGCGCTCTCTCCCTCCTTCTCTCGCTCCGTCCATCCCCCTTCCCTCCATCTGCTTCACATCTTTTATCGTAATCATAATATCATTGCATCATAATATCACCGCAGCCGGACGCCAGGCCACGGAACAGCGGCGGCGGCCCGTGGCAGCGGCCAGCACTGCGTACAGCGGCCACTGCCGCCGTGGCACGACGACGTCGCCGACGGTCACGCCGACGACGTCGTCTGCGTCGCTCACTGTCCGCCGACGATGCTCGCTACGGCCGACTACAGCGGGGAGGTGATCGTATGGAACATGGTGTCTGGTCACGCACGCGCCCGCCTGCACGCGGCCAGACGCGCGGGGTGTAGAGGTGAGAGGCGGAGGAGGGGGGAGGGGAAGGGGGATGGACGGAGCGAGAGAGGGAGGGAGAGAGCGCGCGCGCGGAAGAGAGATAGAGAGAAAGAAACAGAGAAAGAGAAAGAGCAAAAAGAAACCAAAACGTCCCCGACTTCGTTAATGAACACCGCTTTTAGAATACCACCATTGCAACGCTGACTAGAAAAAGATGAGCTATGTTGTGTTCGATCTGTATTCTGTGATGTGTGGAGAGATGAAGAGAGAGGGCGAGATAGAGAGACATAGAAAGAGAG